TGGAGGGGTGGGGGGGGAGTTATATGACGATGCTTTGCCTCGCTGGTAATTTTTTTGTCTATTGTTAAAGGCTTTCGCGACCAAATATTAATAATAAAGGTTTTTGGGTTAGATCAGATAAATGATGCTGGATGTAATTTACCAGCGAAACGTCGTACTACTCAAATTGTAAATGTCGTGGATTTACTCTTCAACACACCGGTGGGCTGAAGTAGTAAACTAATTGGCGCGTTGTTTACGTGACGCACTTTATTGGCCGTGTCGGGTGATGGAGGGCTACGACACATTCATACTTTCGCGATCTAACCCAAAAACCTTTATTATGAAGAGCTATTTAAGTCTGTCTTGAAAACTCACTTATTTAACTTGGCCTTTCTATCCTAGATCCGACCGTTTACTGCAGTTGTGTTCGTTTCCTGCTTTTCATACATCGCGCATCTACAGTTGAAATGCGCCTTTCAGATATGAGTGATGATGTTTCAGTGTTCATCCTTCTAGTGCCTGACTGGAGTTTTTTTGATATGAGTGATGATGTTTCAGTGTTCATCCTTCTAGTGCTTGACTGGAGTTTTTTTTTTTATCGATGTGGTATGGCTTTTCCCCAACGTTGTTTGAAACTCAGGTGAGAAACTTGTTCAGAATAGTGTCTCTCACAAAAGACGTCCCCGTCTGTCATGAGAGAGCCTTGTTCAGCTGTAAAAGTGTGGGAAGCGTAATCTACGGAACACAGAAGTGAATTTTGCTTGCACCGTCCTTTGCTATGCACCATTCAGCCCAGCCTATAACACACAAAAAATAACTGATTGGTCCAGCTCGTTGATGGTGAGCTGGTCATATGGTTAGTGTTGTATTCAAGCCATGATTGTTAATTGTTTTTTTCCAAAATGTAGGAATCGAAAATTCGCTATAACGAGCTATTGTGATGCCACGACAGCGAAGCCGCTCCGCCGACGCCGGGGCCGCCGCTGTGCTGCTGCGGCAGAGAAGCCACCCGGCTTCCGTCACAGCGCTTTCCCCACCACCCCCCACATAAACACACACGTGCACTCACGTAGGGCCTCGTGGGGGGGGGGGGGGGTCACCTGCCCCTGAGTTTTCACCCGAGGGCCCCCCTCGTGGGGGTGCTCCACGGTTTCTCAGGGCCAGGGATTTGGCAGAACCCCTCCCAGGCCGAATGACACTGCGGCGCCGTGGAGTGACTTAAAATTGCACAGCCACGGCGGCCCACTGAGAACCGCAGTGAGGACTCCGCCAAAAAGTACACACGCAGCGGCAGGCCAGCAGGGGGTGGGGGGGGGCGGGCCGGCATGGGTTGACCTTTAGGGTGTGTACACGACATGCGCAGGGACCTCGCCGTGGCACAACGTGCGTCGGAGCGGTAGCCCAGGAGGACGCCCTCTAGGACCTCTACCACCGTACACTCGGTTAAACAATGGGGGGCGGGGCGTCAGGGAGGGGGGCTCCTGATTGGATGAGGGACCAGCGGATCGGCGGCGCTTGGGCTGAAAGTTGCGCTCGGGGTCAACTGGAGAGAGGGATCGAGGAGTCGTCATCTCCCTGCTACTCGAACGTCCGTGAGACGGGTCGTGGAGCAGCCGGGTTCAGTTTCCCAGCCAAAGCCACGTGCAGCCTCGCCTTTTCACGGCTTCCTACGTTTCGAGAGCGCAGCGTGAGTACAGAGTGGAGAGGTAAGTCTGAGGAGAAAATCCCGTAGGGGGGTGAGTAGGGAGAGACTAGGCAAATTGAGCCCAAAACAGCCGGGAGCTAGGACAGACCTGCCCTGCTGGCCCGCACTAACACGAGTAGATTCATTCTAGTGAAACCGAGAATAAACCACCAGTAGACATTAAACCGTGTCGTGTTGTCTCTGTAAGTACGGGGAGGGAGGGGAGTGCACGGTGTGGTGAGCCTGCGCGTTTTGTGGTGTCTTGTGTTTGGGCACGAGCGTATACTTTGCCCGCGCTTGCGCGTTCGCCGTGCACGTTAACTGTGAGCCTGTGCGTTGTGGTGCCCCGCGTGTTCTGCCCGCGTGGGCACTCTCGCCGCTGCGCAGCTCGTGGTTGGCGTGTACGAGAAGGGCACCGCGGCATATTTGCGAGGTGGTTAGCGCAGCTATTTAAATCATGCCCCGAGGAGTACCAGCGAGGAGGGGGGAGGGGGGTGAAGAGGAGAGCGGCGGGGCACAGGAGAATGGGGAGTCGAGGGGCAGCAGCCCTAACACTATACAGGGGGTCTTTGAGGGGGGGTATGTGTGCATGCATAATGAGTCCGATTGAGGCGCACACTCGACTTGGAGGCAGCACTATTTATTAACACACACCACCCACCTGAACACTATACATAAGGTGGTGACCACCTTCCTAATCTCACGAACACTCGGGGGAACGCTACACAGCATGACCCAGGGCAGGTGACGGCTGCCTGGTCACGAACTTGAGGACTTCTCACGACGTCTTCATCCCGGAGTAGAACAGCCCAGCTCCCCGTTCACACCCCGCTTGTAACCGCTCCGGCGTGGCCGGCTCCGCCCCAGGCCACGCCCCCCTTCTCGATCCTTCTGGAAGGTCCGGGCCCCCAACCATGTGACCCCCAAGCTTCCCCCTGGGGCCCCTGGCCCCCCTTTTATCCGGTCACGTGTCCTGTTGGGTTCACGCGGAGTGCCACGGCGTGACACGACCCCCGTGACACCCGCCTACAGCCCCCATACCGAGCCGACACGGTAGTGACATCACATGTCCCTACGCTCGTACAGTCCCGACATAGTAGTGACGTCATATGTCACTACACATGTATGAGAGAACGAGGGAGAGCGCGAGAGGGCTGTGTAATTCAGTGGAGAGGTGTGTGTGTGTGTGAGTGATTTCAAATGTGGCTGTACGCAGGTTTTATAGACTGTACGCAGGTGATATAGGGATTTTGCACTGTGATTCTTCGTGTGTGCTAAGTGTTAAATTTGATTTGTTATTAGTTCATTTTTTAAATTATATAGTCACGTGTATTTCTCATTTTAAAAAGTTGTTCAAGAGGGGAAAATGTTGGGTCTGAAACGTATCTCGGCTTTAAACATGAGAGTCAATGGGAATACAACGATCGTTTAATGAGTTTGTTTACCGAACATTTATTGCAGAACGCATCTTGCTCGTAAAGCGAGACGCAGGCACATATGGTTACTACAACCCAATGTTTGAACTCGTATTGTGTCAAACTCCTGTAGACAACATCAACACTGATGATAAGACTAAGAGAAATCAAGCATATTTGGCTAAACACACATTCACAATAATCCCCTGTGTACCTCTTCAGGCTGTACATGCAAGTACTTTTACCAAGCAGATATTGAGGCTAGAACAGTGCACAATGGGATTTTGAAGCCACCACTATGCATAATGTACTCATTACACGTTAAATCGACCTGAGACAATCTCAAGGACTTACTACCGATGCTAGGCTGTGCTCGGAATTTGCCTATACACACATACGCACAGTATTTGCTTACAAATAGACTCCTCTTTGTACGAACATTATTACCAAACAGGGGTCTGACGTCCTTGGGTAAGGTTAAAAATTAAACTGCTGGTGAAAAAGTCCTAAACACAGGGGCTGCATTTGTCACACAACTCTTAAATTAAGGCAAGCAAGGGAAGGGAATGCTTAATTACACATTACAGACCCGGGACACCCTTCTAATGACAGTGTTACAATTTTATATATTTTTTCTTCCTGGGTAGTAAATGTTATTTCCTTATTGCTTATGCCTAAAAAGTACAGAAAATGGCTATTATTCCCCAGAAACTTTGCTTTTGTGACCAGGACAGTGATATTTAGAAATTTACCTATTTTCCAGAACATTCCAGATATATTCAGTACTGAGTAAACTAGGAGAAACTTCGAAAACATTCTAAAACTTTCCAGTAACATAAATAGTAGTATAAATACAGGGGCCTTAAGCACACCATTTCAGATTAGTTCCAGCTGCGTAAGTGGATACATATCTGCATTTTTCTGAGATGGCATTAAAGAGTCTGCAAGCATCTGGCAGATGCATTTTTATATGTCTGCGGCCAATTTATCAAGACGACAGCGAAAAAGTACTCTGTGGAAGCATCTGCTAAAATGTGAGGCCGACAAGGCACATTTCGGCATGCCTGTCGGGGATCAAGACAAATCCTGGGCACCTCATTTCACCTGTGAGCAATGCAAAACAACTCTGGAAGGTAAGATGGACAATTGTTGCTCGGAATTTTATGTTATAAAATTTGTTACAATTTTTTTAATTGAAAAGTTTTTAATTTTAAAATGTTTTACAATTTTCAATGTTATTGAAAAAAGATATATATGAAAAATGTTGCGAGAATTTCTTACACATTAGTCATGGGTGAAATAAATTTATTTTGTAGGATGGTACAGAGGGGAAAAGAGAGCCATGAAGTTCGCAATCCCAAGAATTTGGCAGGAACCACTGACCACTCAAGCATCTGCTACTTCTGCATGGTGGACCCTTCCAAACGTCGGACTGGCAAGAATGCACCTGCTATCACGTATCCAGACCTTCATTCATCACCCCGGTGCCACACTGCCATGAGCTCCCCGTATCCACTCCTCCAGAGAGAGAGCAGCCGTCTTTAGAAGAGAGCAGCAAGTCAGATAGCGATCCAGATGACAATTTCAGAGGTGGAGCTGAGGAAAGAAACCCATACTACCCCAACCAAAAAGAATCAACGACTTGATCAGAGATCTTGGTCTCACCAAGTCCAATGCCGAGCTTTTGACGTCTAGGCTCTATCATTGGAACTTGTTGGATTAAAGTGTGCAAGTCGCAGATCAGAGGAAGCGTCACCAACCTTTTGCAGCTTCTTCACCCGTCAAGATGGGCTCTGCTTCTGCCATAATATGACCAGTCTGTTCGAGGCAATCGGAATCGCCTGTAACCAGAATGAGTGACGCCTCTTCATTGACAGCTCATTCAGGAGCTGTCAATGTCATGCTGTTGTATATGTCGCGGCATCGTTAAGCGCTGTGCGCGATTGTCACTCCTGGTAGCCTGTAATAACGGCCTCGAGTCAACAGCGGGCAGAAGGGAGTCTAAGGGTGATGAGTCAGGCCGTTGGGCTAAGGTCAACCCTAAGGCACCTCGGGACCACAGGTACAAACCCCCAGACCCCCAGGAAGGGGGCTGGGGGATAACGTCATTCCCAAGGCCCCTCCAGACGGTTCCAGAAGGGAGGAGTGGCTAGGGCGGAGTGAGCCAGAAGCGAGTTTCAAAGAAGGTCCCCTGAAAGGGACCGGCAGTTGTCGTCAAGCAGAAGACCTTGTCAGGGCCAGGACCGAGTGGGCCAGTGGTCGGGACCCGAGGACCTTGGCTAGGTCGGGTCAGGCTAGCCTCCCCTAGGTCCCTCTAGCCGGAGGGCTGATATATAGAGAGTGGTCCCAGTGATTAGGACACGCTCGCCCGGAGGTTATACCTCCCCAGGGTATTGGGTGGAAGGGGCCGATACCCCTTTGTGTCAGGAACCTTGTGTTACTGTTGTTATAAATAAACATGTTGCCTCCAGAAGAAGTGAAGTCTTCTCAAGTTTGTACCCACTACATATATAGTGATAATTTTTGTTTGAATTAATAAAATAACGTTAAATTTGACCTTTTTTGTTAATTGTTGTGTAATGTGTATTAACTGTAAATAACTGGACTTAAAATGCGTTTTGTTAATGCGTGATTATTGTCGATTAAAATAATTATTAATTAGTATGCATATGATAATTATCAAGAGCGATTATGCATATGTTATCACAAGTTCTTATTATTATTGGCTCTAACGTTGTATTGTGATAATACAATGATTCTTGCTTTTAAAATGTATGTGTAATTATGTCAGGTCTCAGAATTCAGATCTCACCGCAGGATACAGTTCTTGCAATTGAGAAAATTATCCTTGAGTTAGGAAAGAAGCATTCGGATATTTCTTGTTCTAAGAAGCTTTAATATCAACTTAAATTGACAGCCAAGAATACTTAACACAGTAGAACTACAGTACCATGCAAATCTATGTACTTATCACTTGATACTAAATGGTTTGAAACATCAAAGATCATTTCACAAGATTATGCGATTCATAGAACATCAAAACAACAATGTTCATGCAAGCATTTGTGTTCATAAAATTTGTACCAAATGGTTAGATAAGTGTCAACGATCGAATCTCACGATCACGTGATTAAAGAAAACAATAGGCAAATATCTCATGGTAAAGAAACAATACACAATTCAATCTTGATTTGAAGCGTGACTGCAGGAATTCATACTCTTTGGTTCTTTCGGTAAAGTCATGTAAGTATAAAGTAAAATAAATCACGACGTTTCAATCGCAGGCGTACAAACTTATAATACAGCAGTGGAACTGCTGACCCAGCGCGAGAGCTGTTACAACAAAAGGTGATTTATGTGGCGATGGGCAAGCAAGCGGGGTCTGAGCTGGAAAGGAATTCCATCCACGGACGTAAGCACGTCAGTTGTGTTAATGGGGAAATTAGGGAGAGAAGAATTAGCATGAATGAGCTTCCATCGCCGCATAAGAGTATCATGCCTGCATATGCGCACAACAGCAGTGTTAATGAGATATTAGCACCATGAGAGTGCAATCCAAAGGACATGTGAGTATGAGAGTGCAATCCAAAGGGCATGTGAACATGAGTGCAATCCAAAGGACATGTGAGAGATCTAAGAGAGAGGCAGAGAGAGAGACACAGAGAGTCGGAAATAACAGCTGACATCGGCAGGTAGGATAGAAACATCACACTCAGTTAAGACTTTACCTGGTTAATAACGTCCTTCCAATGATTGCTCAGTTTGTACCCATCTTCTCGGTTGACGTTGTGTCTCTGTTTATATATCTGGATGGCTTGATGAACAAATCTCTGAAGGTAGCCGGTAGATTTGCAGAGTACCTCCGTCTTGGAAAAATCTATTTCGTGTGAGCCCACAGCGTTAAAACAATGATCAGCAAGAAAGCTGAGATTCTTCTCAGCCCACAACCTGTAAAAAGTACAGATAAATGGTGAGTGAGTGTAAAGTTAACGTCCCATCATCTGTTTTCTTTCTTATCCGAAAAATACCTCTAGTCCCACAAGGGAGCGTTGAAGGGTAGGCTTGATCCGTAGCTGGAGCACACTCACGACCACGCTGCTCACTGTGTTCGCATGGTTGTCTGTGCATCATGCTCGATCCACAGCTGCAATGCACTGCGGCCCTCGAACCAACACGCTGCCAGTCAGTCATCAGTCGTCAGCTGGTCTGCCGCACTTTCGCAGGTTGTCTGCATGTTAGCTGGATCCACAGCTGGAGTACTGTGACTCTTGAACCGGCACGCTGGCAGTTAGTTGCCAACTCTGCCATGCGTTCGCAGGTTGTCTGCACGCCAGGCTCGATCTGCAGCTGGAGCGCCGCTATGGCCACACTGACCCAACACACTGCGATTATTTTGTCAGCAGCCTTAAGAGTGACTTTGTTTGCGAGCACCCGTTGTGCTCACTCTCGGAGGTCTCAACCTCAAGTCTCCACTTGGGGAAGTTGCTTCATGTCACCACGGGCATTTCCAGAAATTCATTGACACCTCTTAGTACAGTCAGATAAAGAAAATTCATTTGCACAACAATAGCATGAGGAATGCTGTATAAGTCCCTTGCCACCAGAAACTCTTATCAGCAATTTTCCTCGATCATGTAACGTATCACACCTCTTAGCTTAGTGCAGTACAGCTTCTCGAAGTCCTTGACTCTGCAAGAGATTCAAAATGTAAATAAATTCTGGTTCTTCTGATTTGTTTTAATGCTCAGGATGCATTCAATACATATATATGCCTACGAGGAGCTAATACATAAAAAGTAGGCAATATCACACTTTATATTTTTAAAATGTTGGAAAAGGCGCCCAAGTCAGCTGTGCTCTGTAATCCCAATGTACGTATTTTACCCCTTTTTTAGTTAAATTACCTAATGCTAGGTTTATTATTAGCCATACTTATTACTTTAACCTTGAAGACTCTCGAGACCACTTTAGATGTCACCACCCTCCTCCTTCTACTCCAGCCCTCCTTGGAATGACTAAGGCCTATTACAACAACTGAGCCCGAGAAAAGGCCTAGCCTAAGCGTGCTCAATGCAGGCAGAGCCTTGGGCAAGAAGGTGAAAGCGACCTCCCCGCTCAGCTCTCCATGCAAAGTCAGAGCGGAGGTACTTACTGAAGAGGCTCTGGTGCTCGTCCAGTAACTGCACGATAAGATCGACCAAATTGGGCACAAAAATCAAGCTTCAAATGGAGGAAAACACCACCCTACTTTGGGTTCTCGACGACAGGCTGGGAGCAGTCAGCGAGCAGGTGGAGCTACAAGAGGTGATCACAATGACCTTTCAATCGATGATGGAGGAACAGGGGGACCTGAATCGGAAACATGAGCACACACTCAGGGAGCTGAAGCAAGTATAGAACAAGCTGGAAGCCAAGATCAGGGAAAGTCAGCTGAAGGCTTAAGACCTCCTGAAGGGCGTGGACGGCAGCACCTCGCAAGGGGCCCTTTCCTTCATCAAACGGGCTTCGTCAAAAAGGGGGACTCAGCAGCTGTAAGGAACTTAGTAAATGTGATAGATATCGCTAACAGGGATACACGTATGGCATATGCTCTAACACGAGACGGAGAGAAGGCATTCGACAGGGTTGAGTGACCTTTCCTTTTCCAGGTCATGTAAAAATCTGGCATCCCTTCTGCATTCACAAACAAATGCAATCTCCTTTACACCAATGCATCTTCTACAGTAATAATAACCAATGGGATAATCTCTCCAGGCTTCCCCCAAGGCAGAGGTACCAGGCAAGGATGCCCCCTCTCAAGCCTCTTATTCAATAGAACCTCTTGCAGAAAGCATTAGAAGCAACTGGAATGTGACGGAAGTACGCAAGGGGAAAAGCGAGAATAAAATGTCTCTATACACTAATGATAACCTAATAACATAATCGGAGCCAATAACCTCTATATCCATACTCTGTTATCCTTGATAACAGACTGCGGAGAAGCCTTGGGCTATAAATAAAATTAAGAAAAATCAGAGCTGATGACCCTTTCCCCTGTTTTGGCTAACCCCCCCCCCCCCACCCCGAGGGACTTTCACCATTCAGTTGATACCCGATACAAATTAAATACCTCAGAGTCGCAATGCCTTCCTCACTCCTGTCTCTCTCCAAGATAAATCTCCCAACCCTGCTTCAAGAGACCATGGCGTCGCTTGCGACCTGGGAAAAAAACATTCCTCTCTCCCTTTCTAATTGAGCCCACTTGAAATAAATGACGATCCTTCCGAAGCTCTTATACCACTTACGAATGGTCCTTACCCGCATTCCTAAAGCTTATTTAAAAATCTCCATTATATGGAACCACAAGATAGAGAGAATTGACTATTACTCACATTAGCCAAGAAGGAGGGAGGCTTGACCTACCCAACTTTTCCAAAATATTACCGATCAATTGCCCTCCTTAATATTAAACACTGGAATGGGAGGATACTTCCGTTGGGCCATGGACTCTTGTGGGGATTACTCTAGCCTCAATTAAAGATACACCATGGAGCTTTAAACCACTATGGAGAGTCACTACCACCCTGGGACTTTGCAGAAATAGGCAGATTCCAATTCTCCCTTTTATCCACAGGCAATGGCCTCTATGGGGCAACCCATCCCTTAAAATAATGAGCAAAGAATAAAATGGCCTACATACATAATGGCTAGCATTGGCAAGGTAGTGGATTTACTGATCCAAGATGGAAATGTATGATAATTCCAGCACTTGCAAGTACGGTATGGTATTCCGCAGTCATATTTTATAGGTACTCACAAATCATGAACGCCATTACCAAGGCCCCAGATACAAAATGTTCGGGACACTCACCCCATAATGGACTGGTTATTGGGAGGAAAGGAGAAGTAAAAACTAGCATAGGCATATCATCTCAATTCGGGGGAGCAGCGGACTTGACCGAAGACTTAAACGCTGTGGGAAATGCAGCTGGGTCATGATATCGCACCGTAAAAATTTTCTCAGATCTAGCGAGACTCAGCAGCTGTCCCCAGATAGCTCCCTTTAAAAGTTGTTCAATTTAAATTTATGCACGGAAACTATCTGACTAATAAGAAGAGGATAACATTTGATTATTCCTCCCTAGGTGCCCAATGGGGACCATCCAGACATTCCTACACGCCTGCTGGCTGTAACTGGATATTGCCGAATTCTACCAGGACATTGCAAATACTTTAATTTTATCTGTGGGACAGATATTAGGCCCTCAGTGGATTCCTCCCTATGGGGCTTGAACCTCGTGGGCATATCCAAATATCAGAACACAGTACTCCAAGCCTTCATGGCCATGGCAAGGAAAACTATCTTAGGTAACTAGAAGTACCATAAACCCCCTTCCTGGAGACCCTGGTACCGATCATTATTTACTCTGGCTGTGATGGAGCACCTTTGTTACCAGCTGAAGGGGAAAGATGGGAATTTGATACAATATTGCCCCTTTCCTTAAGAACCATATATTGCACGGAGCACCCGAGCGCAAAATGATAGAAATTCAAACAAGGGAACCAATGAGAAGGGTGAAGAGGTGGGGGAATGGGCCACAGGACTCGCCTTATTCTAACATACCTTGAATGACAGTTGTTCCTAGGAGGGGAATGGGCGTAAGTGGGCTCAAGTTATTATCTTTCTATTTTTTTATTTTCCACTTGTTACTTTGGTTATAGCCCCACCTCCCTCTTCCCTACCGCCAACTCCGCCTTGGTTAGAAATGGAACCCGATAAACCTTAAATAGCCCCCGTTTGAGGGAGAATAAATACCCAGAGGCACAACTCCTGAAATTTTAAACCATACATGTATGTATGTATGCATGCCCTCTGTCATGATGGCAGTTTAGGATTCAATAAAAACAATGTAAGAAAATAATCATCCTTATCTACTTATGTTTGTTCATATATTTTGTCCATATATATTGTTGTATTTGCCATGTCCATTCAGATACCACACCATGCAGCACATCAGCATGAGTCGGAAAATGGCCTGTAAATCTCGACTTAAAGCTTTCGTGACTGCAGGAATTCATACTCTTTGGGTCTTTCGGTAAAGTCACGTAAATAGAAAAATAATAAAATATTATTTTAGTATGTATTCCTTCTCGTTATCTTTTATACCTACAGACATCTTACGTATGTGATGGTCAAACCTACAATTTAGCCAAGTTGAGTGGAAACCCACATTTACGGTCATACGCTGCGTTCTGTTGCAGGTTTTCACAATTGCATTGTGTTCTCTTGCAGGCAATGGAATCGGTGTCTCTGCAACAACAAAGGAACAGACCGGTGCATGTATTGTTTGTACAGCTTGTATGGCTTGTACTGTTTGCATTTGTTATCATTGTGATATCGACGTTCATATTGAAAGCAGGGTTTGGTCGGTATCCTGCAAAATCCAGTCAGGTAACTGCTTTCATTGTTCATTCTCCTCTTTATCCATGTGAAACTCCATGGGCAGGGTTCCTAAACTCCATTTCTCGTGACCCACCACCAAGAACGTTCCATGACATTTTACCAAATTACTTCCTTTCAAACATATGTCAAGTGATTCCATCCTAAGCGTGCCTGATAATTGTTAAACACATGGCTTAGAGTGCACCAATTCAAATGTAGACATTGTGTATAGGTGTCTTGATCCTCATGATGCTCTTTAATTTTAATTGGTGCGCTGGGTCTCTAACACGCACAAGGTCTTTAATAATTGAGAACACCCTCTATGTGCGCACACATTACACACACAATCCCTGTCTTCGTTTTAATCGGGGCTCAATACTTTCCACATTACAAGGTTGATATTTAGAGTTGGTTTTGCTCGTGCAAGAACAACAATTCAGTCGGTGGTCGGAACCGCAGGAAACATTACTTACAAATTGTTGCGCCTATGCTTATTCAAGCAATATGTTCAGCGACGTTCATACGACATTATAGAAAACTGCACCATTTACCCACGGGTTTACACACGTGATTTACGACATGTATCATGCATATAATAATTCGTTCTAATTAATTAATGCATTATTAAAGGCATAACTGTAATATCTATGCGGCTGATGGGTCAAACAAAGGTCGCTGAGCTCATGCAAAAAACACGTGCACGCGAAGCTAAAGGTGTTTTACATTTGTTCTCAGAATTGTTTAGAACTAAGTTCCAACCGCTGCCGAATCGCACGACCGAACCAGGACTCCATTGTACCTGCATCTGATCCACCTGGCACCGAAAGCAATGACGGCTCTTTCTGCGTTAGAAACATCGCAAGAGAGACTTGGATCAATAAAACCTACGCCAAGCTAACATCTGGGAAACCTCCCTCGACGTCGGAGAAGAAAGAGAGGTGGCACAATTTGACGTGCAGTCACCGGTCGAGCAGCTTCTTTGAGGTGGTGGATACGAACAAAAGGTTACATTGCGGGGGTTACCTGACAGTCACTGTGTCCATGCGGGACGCGCACGGCAAACCCAAGCTGTACGGCGGCGACTTTATTGTGGGGAGGCTTTTCAACAGTGAGCTGGGTGCGGCCGTGTCGGGGAGCGTGCACGACATCGGCAACGGCTCCTACCGGCTGAGTTTTCCGCTGCCCTGGACTGGCAACGCAACCATCGCCGTGCGGCTGCTACACTCAAGAGAGGCGGTCAACGCCCTGAACTACGTGCGCGAGAATTTTCCAGAGAAGATAGCCTTCCAGGCCGTGTTCCGCAAGATACCCGAGTCACCCAAGACCACCAATTGCTACATGACCAGCGTGGAGAACTTAAACCTCCCCAGCAGCAGTAAGGATCGAGGCGATAGAGGTGCAACTATTTAACAATGTGTCCAGTAAAGGTCGCTGGAGTGATGCTAATCATGATGTAGCTGTGCAGCGGAGTTGTGTGCCAATTTGGTTTCTCAATTTCAGTGAATAGATGGTTTTAGCCCAGTCACCAATAACCATGAAAAAAACACGTGGTATTTAGTTTTCACTTAATTTGCCCTCTGTAACATAAAAGTGTGGCCCTTCATGTGTGAGTAAAAATGGTTAACTAAAGAGATATCAGAAGTAGATTTGTCATATCACCTTATGCAGATAGTTCTCTGAAATGGGATTATACTGCTCTGAGAGAATTTTAATATGTACTTTATTTCATTACATGACACTGATAGAATTAGAATAATATTTTGAAAATTACAGAAAATTTAAAATAATGCACAATAATGGTGGTGATGCAGGTTATGGCAAAGAAAGGGCAACTTCATTGACTTGGGGCTTTGGCAGAAGGCCTTGGTTGCTTGACCAGACATCACGTAAAGGAGCATAGCATGAGATGAGAGGTGAGAGACGGGTAGGGGTGATCAGGAGGACGATCAAATACTGAGCACGATCTTGTAGTTGATATTGAACTCGATTGGAAGCCAGTGGAGGGATCGGAATATGCCGGTGATGTCTCATACAGGTGCAGTTAAGAAAGCTGGTCATGGCATTTTGGTATTTCTGAAAATATAGATGATAATGTATTATAGATGGCAATGATGTTGCAGGCGATGCATATCATGGTGGTGGAGCAGGAGAGAAACAGGCACACATTCAGGTAGATGTAATGCAGGAGGACTTTGAGCTGATGGACTTGTTGTCAATTAGTACCAGCAGTATAAATACCAACCTCCTGGGCAGTGTGAGCCAATCACCTTTTAGCAACAGGAAATGGATAATTTATGCACGCAACAATGAACAGAGCCGGACCACTAAAACACAGCAATAGAGTTTAGTGAGTCATGTAGGTGGTAAATATGCCAGTCACCCCAGTCAGCTAGCCCATGAAACCTGGGACTTTCCTATGACCTGCCAAAAAGCTTTCAACACTTCAAATTGCCTCAAAGTTCACTTGAACTAACACAAACACCGTTACATTGCGATGAATGGCTGTACTTGTTCCAGGTGGTGTTGTAGATGATGCCGAAAGAGATGGAAACATTTGCAGCCTGACCGACTCCAAGCTGTGCGAACCCTGGTTGTGCATCAAGCCAAATACATCCCTGTGCAAGTCTCTTCAACACTTACATTCTTATAACTACGAGGCAATCCCTTGGGGAGATGAGTACCAGGAGCTTTTTGAAAGGTGAAGGAAATGATGACAATAAGATTAATTCTTTATTTTCTAGGATTATGATTTATTTTCATATATTTTTAAAGGACATATATGTACACTTATTTTTTTTACAAGCATAACAGTGATGTTCAATAGCCAACTATTGATGATGATGATACGTAGGATTGTCTAATAGTTTTACATCGGAGCCTAAATTTGCATGGCAGTGATTTCTACCACTGCTGAAAAATATATATTACACATCCCCACATATCAAGATTTGTAGATAAGTGAGAGGAGACGTAAAACATTTTTTTATAAACAATTTATAACGTGTGCATATTTTGCTCATCAGAAACAATGTTCCATCGAGAACTTTGAGGCACAGAGCCAGGGAGAGGGCCAGGGTCCAAGAACTAGGCCATTCTGGCCAGTGCAGCGAGGAGGGTAGCAGGGTGAAGTCGAGCCCTAGATTGGGTGGCAAGCCTGCCTGGCCTCCGTATCAACAATGTCAGCTGGCAACAATAAACTGAGGGGGCCCAGCACCAGGAAAGCCGTGCATTTACTAGGCCCAAGGCAGATAGGATCGGTGGAGTTTGGCACTCATGCGGGTCCAGAGACATTGAACCTGCTATGAGCTGGTAATGGATGAAGAGCCTAACGCCATAAGAGATTAAGTGCTTGCCAAGACCATTAGAGCCTGGCAGTAATGACGTCAAGGATACCGAGGCCATTAAAGGACCGTTGATGAGATTAAGGGGGTTGTGAGATTATTGTTACCCATCACTGAAGAGGTCAGGGGGCACCAAGACCTTGGGGAAAGTAGTTGGGAGTAAATACTAGAAAACAACATTCAGGAAAAACAGTGGCAGAGAGGCAAGATTGAGGATTATGGAAAGTTTAAAGATTTGGCATTGAGGATTATGGAAAATTTAACGATTTGGCATTGTTGCATTCGAAGTGCACAAGGGGAAGACAATGAGATTGGATAGCAACATGTTGAAGATAAGCCATTTTTGGCAGCCATCTTGAAACGATGTGTAGAGTAATTTTTCTTGCTGTAGTTTTCCCACCTGATGACGATTGCTTGTGTTGCAATCTAAACGTCGTGATTTATTTTATTTTCTACCTACGCGACTTTACCGAAAGAACCAGAGAGTGTGGATTCCTGCAGTCACGAAAGCTTCAAATCTAGATTGAGTTTAAATGTGGTTTAAGTGTATTTGCCCTACTCGTGGGTCTTTCGGACAAGTCACGTAAATAAAAAAACAATAGATCACGATGTTTCAATCGCAACACAAGCAATCGTCTTCAGGTGAGAGAGGTGTATTTGCCATGTTAAGGATTGGAACCACTTTGGCATCTCTTGTGCTAAAGACTCTTTTTATTATCCTGTATTTCAGTGAAAAAGCTCAAGAACCTTTGAAGGCAAATGGGCAGTCGCAGATTTTTGTTGAAAATAATGGTAAAAACAAATTGTGGCTACATTCCCATGCAAATTTTTTCACAACCTCCACTTCACTGTTTATTCCTCTTCCAGAAGCCGTATAAATGTGCTCTTGCTTTTTGCTTGTTAACTTGTTTTTGTCTGTTCTCTCCCTTATATCTAACAATGACCCATTACAATATATGATTTGTTTTAATATGTAAAACACTTTTTAGATAAAACAATGATAACAATGTAATTCTGAGAATAAAGTAGTATGTTACTATCATTTACCATATAGCAGATCATCGATTAGCTAGCGGCTTTGTGGGAAGGGGGGCCGGATAACCACATCATTATTCAAATAGCTTATTTTTGCACACTCTTGTATAACATATTTTTGGGTTTTATGTATATGTTTTTTAATGTATTTACTATTTGAAATTGCCATAAGTAAACACACAAATGACAAAAATAAATATCCCGTAAAAGGTTACTGTATTTACTATACCATACCACTCCCATCTCTAAGACTCTGCATAGAGTTACGTACGTACGCTCTTGTTTTAAAGTGTCTGACAATCGCCAAACTGATTTAGTCTTGAGACCAGTGCTCTGGCAAACGCCGAATTACACGCACTTTTCGCCGGATTGCACTGTATATTTTCAGTTTTTAATACTGTAGTTAGTTATGAGAAATGTATATACGTGTAGTATTTTCATTGTTTAAGCTGTATGTAGTGGATAATCTTTCTTATATATAAAAGTCTCTGCGTGCGCGCTTGCGGGCGATTTGGCTCTCAAACGGTGGGGGTCAAGTCCGAAAAAAATTCCTGGGTGGCACGCCCCGAGCCCCCTGCTTGGTATAGGCTATTTCGTTTTCCCAGCCGTCAACTTTAAATTAGTTTAATTAGCCATTTAGTGCCATTCTTATTTTAATTATTTACTTACTGCACGAGCTGGACCGTACCAACTGACGCCAATTGCGTGGGGGGGGGGGGGCGGACCCTGCCAAGTGGGGAGGGGGGGGGTAGGGGCGGACCCTGCCAAGTGATGCGCGTTCAGTCCAGCTCACGGCCACACCACGGCACTCTGTCACGTCACTACTTTGTGCTATAGACTCACTAAATATCTACTGCTATAGAGTCACTATAAATACTGCTATAGAGTCAGCATGTACTGCTGTAGAATCCATAAATACTGCTATAGCGTCAGTATGTACTACTGTACAGTCCATATATACTGCTATAAAGTCAGTATGTACTACTGTAGAGTCGATAAATACTGTTATAGAGTCAGCATGTACTACTGTAGAGTCTCATGAATACTTTTATAGAGTCAGCATCTACTACTGTAGAGTCCATATATACTGCTATAGAGTCAGTATGTACTACTGTAGAGTCCATATATACTGTTATAGAGTCAGCATGTACTACTGTAGAGTCCATATATACTGCTATAGAGTCAGCATCTACTACTGTAGAGTCCATAAATACTGTTATAGAGTCAGTATGCACTACTGTAGAGTCGATATCTACTGCTATAAAGTCAGTATGTACTACTGTAGAGTCCATAAATACTGTTATAGAGTCAGTATGTACTACTGTAGAGTCGATATCTACTGCTATAGAGTCAGCATGTACTGCTGTAGAGTCGATATATACTGCTATAGAGTCAGCATCTACTACTGTAGAGTCCATATATACTGCTATAGAGTCAGCATCTACTACTGTAGAGTCCATAAATACTGCTATCGAGTCAGTATGTACTACTGTAGAGTCGATAAATACTGCTATAGAGTCAGTATGTACTACTGTAGAGTCCATATATACTGCTATAGAGTCAGTATGTACTACTGTAGAGTCCATAAATACTGTTATAGAGTCAGTATGTACTACTGTAGAGTCCATATATACTGCTATAGAGTCAGTATGTACTACTGTAGAGTCGATATCTACTGCTATGGAGTCAGCATGTACTACTGTAGAGTCCATAAATACTGCTATAGTCAGTATGTACTACTGTAGAGTCCATAAATACTGTTATAGAGTCAGCATATACTACTGTAGAGTCCATATATACTGCTATAGAGTCAGTATGTACTACTGTAGAGTCCATAAATACTGCTATAGAGTCAGCATGTACTACTGTAGAGTCCATATATACTGTTATAGAGTCAGTATGTACTACTGTAGAGTCCATAAATACTGTTATAGAGTCAGCATCTACTACTGTAGAGTCGATGTATACTGCTATAGAGTCAGTATGTACTACTGTAGAGTCCATAAATACTGCTATAGAGTCAGTATGTACTACTGTAGAGTCGATATATACTGTTATAGAGTCAGCATGTACTACTGTAGAGTCCATAAATACTGCTATAGAGTCAGTATGTACTACTGTAGAGTCGATATATACTGTTATAGAGTCAGCATCTTACTACTGTAGAGTCCATAAATACTGTTATAGAGTCAGCATGTACTACTGTAGAGTCCATAAATACTGCTATAGAGTCAGTATGTACTACTGTAGAGTCGATATATACTGTTATAGAATCAGCATCTTACTACTGTAGAGTCCATATATACTGCTATAGAGTCAGTATGTACTACTGTAGAGTCGATAAATACTGCTATAGAGTCAGTATGTACTACTGTAGAGTCGATATATACTGCTATAGAGTCAGTATGTACTACTGTAGAGTCGCTAAATACTGCTATAGAGTCAGCATGTACTACTGTAGAGTCGATAAATACTACTATAGAGTCAGTATGTACTACTGTAGAGTCGATATCTACTGCTATGGAGTCAGCATCTACTACTGTACAGTCCATAAATACTGCTATGGATTCTAGATTTGAAGCTTTTGTGACTGCAAGGATCCATACGCTTTTGTTCTATTCGGTAAAGTCACGTAGGTAAAAAAAATAAAACAACAAAAATCCATACATACTGCTATACAGTAAGCATGTACTACTGCACAGTCGATATATACTGCTATAGAGTCAGCATGTACTACTCTACTCATAGCAGGTACCACCACTGCCGCGTGCCCTGCTGTAATCATACCAGCTTACATCACAGTATGCATGCACTGCTGCAGAGAAAGCAGGTACCACCACACTATGCATTGCTGTAGTAATAGCACGGACCACCACAGTCACTATGCACTGCTGTAGTAAAAGCAGGTACCAAAGTCCGTATGCACTCCAGTAGCTAAAGCAGGTACCACCACAATATGCACTGCTGTAATCATACCAACTACCACGACGGTATGCATGCACTGCTGCGGGGAAAGCAGGTACCACCACTGTATGCACTGCTGTAATCATACCAGGTACCAGCACATTCAGTATGCACTGCTGTTGTTAAACCATGTACCACCACAGTATGCACTGCTGTTATCATAGCAGCTACCACCACAGTTAGTATGCACTGCTTTTGTAATAGCCGCTACCACCACTGTCAGTATGCACTGCCTTTGTGATAGCAGGTTCCACCACAGTCACTAGGCACTGCTGTTGTGATACCACAAACCACCACAGTCGGTTTGCACTGCTGTAGTTCAAGCAGGTACCACCACAGTCTGTGTGCACTGCCTTTGTGATAGCAGGTTCCACCACAGTCACTAGGCACTGCTGTTGTGATACCACAAACCACCACAGTCGGTTTGCACTGCTGTAGTTCAAGCAGGTACCACCACAGTCCGTGTGCACTGCTGTAGTTCAAGCAGGTACCACCACAGGCCATGTGCACTGCTGTAGTGAAAGCAGGTACCACCACAGTCGGTATGCACTGCTGTATTCATAGTGCATACCGTCGTGGTGTGTGTGTAAGTCCATGTATGTGTGTGCGTAAGTCAATGTGTGTGCGTGGTGTGTGTGTGTAGAAAACTACTCTTTTTTAATTAAGTTACTTCTTTCACAGTAATAATGCCTGCGTCTAAGTCCATGTGTGTGTGTGGGTCGATGTGCATGTCTGCGGCCATGTGTGTGTGAGTCAATGTGTGTGTGTGCGTCGCTCCATGTCAGTGTAAGTACATTTCTTTCTATGTGTGTGTTTTTTGGTCCATGTGTGCGTGTGAGTCCATGTGTGTGTGTCTGTACGTACATGTGTGTGTGTGTGTGCGTACGTCCATGTGTGTGCGTACGTCCATGTGTGTGTCTCAGTCCATGTTTGTGTGCCTCTATGTGCGTGTGTCAGTCCATGTATGTTTGTGTGGGAGTCTATGTGTGTCAGTCGATGTGTGTATGGCAATATGTCTATGTGTGACAGTCCATGTGTGTGTGCGTCGATATGTATGTGTGTGTGTAAGTTCATGTCTGTGTGTGTGAGTCTATGTGTGAGTCGATGTGTGGCTGTCGATGTGTGTGCGTGGGTCCATGTGTGTGTGTAAGTCCCTGTGTGTGTGTCTGTAAGTCAATATGTGTGTGTGTAGGTCAATGTGTCTGTAAGTCTATGTATGTGTGTGTGTCACTCGATGTGTGTGTGTAAGTCAATGTGTGTGTGTGTGACTTGATATGTGTGTGTGTGTCAGTCCATGTGCATGTGTGTTCGTCGCTGTGTGTGCGTGGCTCCATGTTAGTCAGTGTCAGTCCATTTTGTTGCGTGCCTGTAGTTCCATGTGTGCGTGTTAGTCCATATGTGTGCTTTATTCACTTGCTCAGGGCCTATGATACCATCATTAGGCCTGGGCTCTGGGTTGCTCCTCGTACTTTTCGAGTCCCTCACCCTCTGCTCACGATCCTTAAGGACCTTCACGATGCTGAGCGGCCCCACATCAAACTACGTGACTGTGAATCAGAGCCACTCCCTGTACATCTTGGGGTGCGACAGGGATGTCCACTGCCTTCCACATTCTTTTACATATATTTGGACCACGTACTTCGTTAAGCCTTCAATGCCTCTACCGGAAGAATTCACATCTGGTACAAATACAATGGGAGGCTCATCGATGCCTGGGTGCGGTCAATCGATGGCTCCCTATTGGTCAACCACGTTATGTATGCCGATGATCTGGTAATCAATGCTCACTCAGAAGAGGAGTTGGACGCGCTGCTGCTCAACCTGGAGCTTGCCACTAAGAGGTGGGGCCTTGCCATCAGCCCCACCAAAACTAAGCACCTGCCTGGGTATTTTGTACCATCGGACAATCCACCCCCATAACTCACAATTGGTGATGGGCCAGTTGTGGAGAGTGCAGAGCTTCCCATACTTGCCCAGTGTACTCATGACCGGCTCCGGTTTAACACCAGAGGTCTCACTCTGAATCAGTTGAACGGCATTATCTTTTAATTGGCTGTGTAACACTATGTTGAAGCTACCTGGTCTCTCGCTCCGCACGAAGCTCCATGTCGTCTCACCCACGGTCATTCCCTCCCTTCTCTACGCTTGCGAAACTTGGACCCCCCTAATGCAACATTTTCACTGGTTACAAACATTTAGGCTGGCCTGCCTACGATCCATCCTGGGTTTAACCAGGCTGGATTGTGTGATGAGCTCACTAATACTTGAAAGATCTGGACAAAGCCTTATTGATGACCTCCTACGCCAGGCAAGGCTGCGTTGACTGGGCCATGTATCCTGCATGGCCAGGCAAGGCTGCGTTGGCTGGGCCATGTAGCCTGTATGCCCAGCCACCGCATGCCTAAAGACCTTTTGTTCCGCCGGATCGAGGTCTCTAAACGCGCGGCACAGGCTAGAGAAGAGATGCAGTGATGTGCTACAGGACGATGTGCAGCTGAGTGGACTTGTCGATGACTGGTACCAGCGGTGTCAAGGTCGGTATCTGTGGAGGAGCCTCGTGAAGGACGCTACAGGCCTGTTGGAGGCAGTCGGCCTTCAACAACAACGGAGGCCGGAGGAGTGACGCTCACAAGAACGAGCGGTGCACCGTGTGGCTAAAGCACAGCAAGTTAGCAGGTTACAGGGCACAGGTGGTGCATCTGCCAGTCATCTCAGTCGACCTGTGCCCTCTGGGTCTGCCCCGTGACCTCCTGCCAGCAGATGTTGGACACTTCACGTGGCCTCAAGGTGCACATAGCCTGCCACAAGCGTTGTGGTGACGTCACTGCCACTTAGTGGCGAATGGCGGTTGTTGTTGTTCAGTCTATGTATGTATGTGTGAATCGATATGTGTGTAACTCTGTGTGTTTGAGTCGATTTGTGTGTGTAACTACATTTGTCTCTCAAGTCGATGTCTGTGTGTGTGAGTCCATATGTGTTTGTGTGCGTGTAAGTCAATGGGTTTCTATGTGTATGGGTCCATGTCTGTTTGTAAGTCCATGTGTGTGTCTGCCTTTTTCGCCCGGGCAACGCCGGGTACTAACCGCTATGTAATATATATACAATATTTGACACTGAAATTAAGCATAGCTACTTTTTTTGTCGCACATGATGCCAATCGCCGGACTGATACAGCCTTTGGAGCGTTTTTTCCGGTTTCGCCAGATCGGCCCGGGACCGTTGGATAATATTGAAAGCCGGATAATCGCACACCAGATAATCGATGATCAACTGTATTTATAAATATAAATGATCATTATGCAATAGTTCTGTCTAAATTACTGGAATCTTCAATGGTTTGGTCATGTGACAAATAAGGGAACTATGCAAGGTCATCTTCCAGGACATGAAAAAAGAGAGAATGACCCAAGATCAATTGAGTGACAAATGTGATATTGTCTGATAAGCTGGTAAACACCTGACAAAAACTGCACAGGACAGACAAAATTTGTGGGAGTTACTAGCCGAGCCAATGCAGCCGCGCCAACGCAGCCTTTGCTTTGGCAGGAAAGGCTGCGTTGGCTGGGATATATCGCCCACATGCCCAGCCACCACGTGCCCAAACAGTTTTTGTTCAGCTGGATAGAGGGAGCTAAACGGGCTTGGCACAGGCTAGAAAGAGATGGAATGATGTGGATCTGAGTGGACGTGCCAATGACTGGTACCAGCTGTGTCAAAATTGCTCTCTCTTGTGTGGAAGAGGCTTGTGAAGGACGCTACTGGGAAGTTTGAGGCAGTCACCTTCCAATAACAGCAGAGAGCAGAGAAGTGACGCTTACAACAAAGAGCAGAGCACCGAGTAGCTAAAACACAGCAAGTTGGCACAGTGGGTGCCACAGGTGATGCGTCTGTCAGTCATCTCAGTCGACCCAAGGTACCTGGGTCTGTTCTGTGACCTGCCAGCGAATGTTCGATACTTCACGTGGCCTTAAAAGTGCACATTCGTTCGGTTGTATTTACGAGCTGAAACGCAGACCTATTTTGTGCAGCGAAGCGATCTTCCGTGAGATGTAATGATTGCCAGCATCTCGCATGATGCATGCCCCATCCGATAAGAAAATATTCAAGGTAATTGAAAGTAAAACCGATTTTATTTAGTAGACAGTATTTATTACAGTATTACACGCAAATGTACAATATTTATTCGAATGAGTTTAACATTGCTTCCCTTTTTTGTTGAACCATAGCACATGTTATGTACAGTATGTACAGTACATACAATTAAATGTTGAGTTCTGAGATATAAACAAATCGAGTTACAAATGGGTCTCAAAAACGTAACCTGTTCATAAGTCGATGACTTGCATATTTACCTGCGACCAAACATGGGAGTCATCTATCTGTGGGTCGTAACTAGAAAGCAATGATGCCCTAAAACAATCTATAGGGACTACAATTGTTCCGGATGTCTTTCAGCCCAGTTATCCCATGGAAGCATGGCTCTGTGGATTAGGTCGGACATAGCACTGGGATTGACAAGAGGCCTCCTGGTTTGTGTTGTTGCGTGCAGATAGGGTGATCCCGTCCCAGCATCGGTGTGAACCCGTGATGTCGCTTCAGCCCTCTGGCCACTACTTCAGAAATGAGTGGAACCCGCTGGGGTACACACTGAAGAGGTTCAGTCGCCAGGACGTGGTCACCTGCCTGCGGGGAAGACAGGTCTTGTTCTTCGGAGACTCCACCATCGTCCAATGGTGGAACCACTTGACCGCCATGGTCCCCAGTAGGTTGAGCATTGCACTACGCATTAAAGCTGCAGCTAATGCAATGATTGATCAAGTGATGCAATGAATAACGTGGCAGAGATATTGATTGGTCAGTGAATATGTATTTGAATGCGTTTTTATAATGTATTGACAGCTCAAGTAACTGATGAAATCATCGGTCATGATTTGATAGCGAGGATGTCTGTGTTGACTCCACCCCACCCTCTCTAAGCTTCTTGCCTCCCTCGGGCTCTCTCCTTTTTCCCCTGGCACCCCACTCCCCTGTTAGCGTTCAAGAAAATAGATCTGCACATACAAGAGATACACAGGCCCTTCCACGCCATTGACACGGTCAACAAGATCACCATGAGGTACTTCCCACACGCATACCCCTTCATCTGCGCCAAGCTGCAGCGCGCTGTCGACTTCACTCCCTGCGCCAATGCCATCGACAACCTGCGGGGTGGGAAGGACACGGCGTTGGCTCTGGCGCTGGGTCCCCACTTTACACCATTCCCGCTGCGCGTCTTCCTGGCGCGAATCTTCAACATCCGCGAGGCCGTGATCGGTCTGCTGAAGCGCAGCCCCAAAACGGCCGTGGTGATCAGGCTGGTGAGCACACGAGAGCTCATCCTCGATTATGCACGCTTCAGTAACTGGTTTCTGTTCAAGTTTAATGAGGCCCTGAGGGCCGCATTCCAGGACATCAAAGGCGTGGCTTTCGTAGATGCATGGGACATGACGGCATCGGTGGATTCTTACCAGCTTCACCCAAACAGCGTTATTGTCAGCAACCAGGTCAACGTCTTCCTGAACCACATCTGCAAGCAAGGTTAATGACACTATGTAAAATTACATATCGAGGAAAGGCTTAATGATTCTTGACTAATTTTCAGGAGGGGTAAAGGTGGGACGTGTGGACAACGTCCAAACGTGTTTGCTGGACACAGGAATTAACACACCCAGGAGACTCCTCGTGGCCTGGTTCTGGAGTGGGGGGGGGGGGGGGTGTGGGATTGGGGTGTAGTGAGGTGAGGGTATTGTATACGGCCCTTTTTCCACAATTAATATCCATAAGAATATTGACCGAAAGATACATAGAGATTTTTTAGTGACAAAAATTCATTAATAAAAACACGTAAGCCAGTCACACAGGAAAACCAAATGTCGTTCATAAACAAAGCCATAAATAAATAAAGGAATAATAAACTCTCGAGGCAAGGATGTTAACAGCCATCTGCGAAAATCACCAGATGAACAAAGCTGTTTGATGTGACCCTAAAGAAGGGTCACCCAGAGGGGAGCCCCTCAGGAGGGTAGACACATTGGTGCCACTCGCTTGAACCAATTTGTTTCTTCCATTACTATTGGGGTAACGTTAAAGTTCAAATCCCAACAACCGGAATAAGCTAAAATTAGCGATCCTCACGCTCACTCCAATTAAGACCAGGCCACCAGATACATCAGTGAATCATTACCCAATTATTAATTCGATATCAAATGATTTTCACCTTTAATACTTTTACTGTTAAATCACAAGCTTGGGGACAGAAATACCGAGTCGCATCAAGGGTTTTCGAGGAGAAATGAGGCGAACGGGCAAACTTACGAAACGAGTTAAACAATATTACAAGAGACTCCCGACCGTCTTTGTCTCTCACGCAGCGCGAGAGAGAAGGGAATTTCACACCGATGTGCGGGGCTTAATAATGGCCCCACCCCACCCCGCAAACACGGGCAGACAAGTCACTGGCAGCAAAGCCAGGCGAGCAAGCTTTAAGTTAAAGAAAAATACAAAATATATGTGGCATACATAACATTAATAATAACGTGTTCACCTCAAACGATATTCCATATTATAACCTTACAGAACCAAGGGATATGTCACAGACAATCAAGAAACGGACCTCTTAAACTCAGGATAAATTTTTTATATATATAATAATAACTCTATCATAATGCGAATCTCAGTAACCCGAGAGGTGCGTCGGGAGGACAGAGTTACAAATCACGAGCCTTGGTGAACATAAGACCAAATGGTATTTGAGAAACATTCAACCGAGGGCAACGGAGAGAGAGATCCCGGCCGCCTTTGTCTCTCCACGCAGCACGTGATAAGAATATGCATACGCTCAAGAGAAAGCATCTTCACTTGAAAATAAAATCAAATACCCTAAATCACAAACATAATCATAGATGCGAATGGTACGATACCAACTCTATCGTACCTGTGATGGGATAAATGTTAAACTTTAAAACTTTACCATTTCTTTGTGCGAAGAAAACTTGTACAAGGGGGGGGGGGGGGGGGGGGGAACCCGCCCCTCCCTCCGGATGGACAGCGTAGACAGACAGACGCCTTCGAAATGAATTGAAGCGCCTGTTTCCTTTGATGGTTTATGGCTTGAGGAAGACCCGAACAGAACCATGTCATAAATGACACACTCACACAAACTAGATTTGAAGCTTTCGTGACTGCAAGGATCCATACTCTTTGGTTCTATTCGGTAAAGTCACGTAAAAGTATAATACAACAAAAATAAAAAAATTCACGACGTTTCGGCCACAACGTAAGTGGCCTTCATCAGGTGAAGGGACCAGACTGTCTCGAGGACAGCACTGGAGTGAACACAGCCAAGCTCAGACCGCGACCTTTAAGCTGTGTGAGAGGAAACAAGGCGCCCTTGACAAAGGAATTAGCATAAAAATTCGCATTTAATTGGCGGACTTAGCATGATGAACGGTGTAGAGAGGGGGAAACATGTGCAGACCGGCGAGGGGGGGAGGGGGAGTTTACATATTGATGGTGTGAAAAGGGAATTTAAGCAGCTGCGAAAGTTTGGGATACCACTACTTGAAAAAATATACTGTACCATTGAAAATTAGTTTAATGTTTGGTTCGATTTAGGGCATCTTTCCAATGGTTGCTTAATTTGAAACCATCTTCTCGGTTGAAATTGTGTCTGTGTTTGTAAATTTGAATTGCCTCGTGAACAAATCTCTGATAAAAACCCGTGGGTTTGCAAAGAACCTTGGTATCGGAGAAAATTATATCGTGATCACCCACAGCATTGTAACAGTGATCAGCTACGGCAGAATAATTCGTTCTGCCGTGTTTCAAATCTGATTTGTGCTCGCGAATTCGGTCAGAGACATGTCGTTTCGTCTCCCCGATATAGCAGTCACCACAGGTGCAGATCAATCTGTAAACTCTGGGGTACTGTAAGTCAGGAATGACATTCTTCACGGAAGGGATCAGGTCACGGATTTTGTGTACTGTATGGATATCTTTTTAGTAACGCCTGCTACATATGGCAGTGTGATGGTTTTGATCGGAGTATCAAGTGGTTGTTGATACTCCGATCATCTCAGCAGAAGACCAGCTCAACTCATCTCAGCAGAAGACCAGCCACCACCGACGCAGGAGAAGCCTCTACAAACTCGCCAGATTGGCGAGGCTCGCCGATTGGCGACACGCTACCCGCTGTTAGCTGACAGCGCCATCCAGAGAGAGAGAGAGCGCCGACGGCGCCCCAGCGTGCCAGCTAGTCGCAGACGAGCATCATCTACCGACGGAGAGAGAGCGCCCACGGCAAGCAACTTCACCAGCAACCGCGCGGCTGCGAGCGGGCGAGCTCCAAGCGCCATCTACCGACGACCATCGCAACTACAACTACGTCAGCCGGACCCGAATCGACCACTGCGAAGGAGGAATCACCTATCCATATGATACACGTCCCCCACCACCCAGACATCCGCTTGACGCAAAGAATCAATTCCGAACATTGGCCTACTCTCTCATCATCCATACCACTCAAAACGCACGGGTCATTAACAAAAGCCTAACCCTCAAGTCAGTAAACCATCAGTGACCGTGAGAGCATCGCGGCAGACCGAGTGAATAATCCGTCATTTATAAGAGTGTTCATCATTTTCCTCGTTAATATTTAGTTTTGGGGCTGTACTTCTAATCGCATAAGTTACCAACTGATCCATCGATACGGATTAATCCTTGGCACCTTCGTCACGGAGCGCCGCTCACGGGGGAGAATAGCGTGTTCAACCGGTTTCCCTGTCAGGGATCTGGCCACAATTAATTAAAAGATTGGCCCAAGATAAGAATCTCAAGGGAAAACTCACCCCCTCGCACCCCCTCACTATAAGCCATTGCTCTCATCATATAACCTTGCAGATGGATCTGTTGAGAATTGTGCCTTTGGAATAATAATGGTTTTAGTGCTGTTCCATACGAATATCGTTGCATAATAATCAATCGTCCTACTGTGTTAACGTGACAAGGATTTGCGTTAAGGGTCGCATATGATCAATGACCGAGTGTCGTGTTGTGTAACAATTCAAGTATACGAATTTGCATATGATAGAGTTAAGGCTTTGGTAGAATAGTTATGCATGTTTTAATCTCTCTCAACAACCGAGGTCGCGTTACGCGTCGGGAATTAACCACAGGTGCCGTTATCAAAGTGAAACAACGCAATCGTGATGGTTACCGTATTAATGCTGTGTTGAAATTCCGAGATTGAGAGTTCTCATATAATCCAAAAATTAAAGTTTAGCTAGAAAATAAAATTGATTAAAGCAGAAGGATTGTGTGATTCTTTCTGAAATTCCGCATAAGAATTGTTCTGCGATTGAGATATGAACTTGGGGGACCTATCATAAGCACACTAACACACATAATCAATAAATGTTAAAGCGAGAATAATCGTATCCTTATTGATAATACGGAGTTAAACACCGAAGCCGAGTTGACTCTCTCATTCACGCTCACAACACCTGCATAACTGCATACGATTAATTGTCTCATCCCGATTGATAACCCAACCCTCGTCAGCGAGGCGGGGCCTAATTATCATAACGACCTACATTATCATAACCGCACCCACTCGCATAAATTAATACGATTATCTCTCGAATTAGCATAATTTATATGCATAATTACACAAACTAACGTATTTTCGCATAAATTATGCGAAATTCAAATTTCTTTTAATTTTCATTATTTCCATCAAATTTGCATAATCCACATATACAACAGGGGTATGGTGTGCGGTGTTGGTGGAGGGGTGGGGGTGGAGGGTTGAGTGTGGACGTGGGGTGGGGGTGTGGTGTGGTGCCAGATGGTAGTGCTGTCATGGTTGTAAGCAATGTTATGGAAGGGCCGATTCCAATCAGCTGTCCCCTCATGGTGCTCGTAGCCACAACAACAGAAAAATATCTAACTAAGCTGGTGCCGGAGGCCCCTGAAGAACAGGCATTTATGACGTATCCTAGCTAAATCCCATTTGGAGCCAGGAGACTGAACCCGTGTCCCCAGGGTTCCTCCAGAAATGGCTCACCGTGGAGGAGAGGCTGCCAATCCTCTGTCGGGAGCTGGATCAGTACTACCTGGATCTTTGTGGTATTCAGGAGGTCCGGTGGACTGTTTCTGGCTCCAGTCCCTATGAGGAGTGGACAGTCCTCTATTGGGAGTGCCTCTTTTTCTAAATTAAAGAATGAAAGGGTCGTGGAAACGTGGCTGTGAGGTGTGGGAAACTGTAAGTCCCAGGCTACTGTGGGCTCGCCTCCACATAAACGGGAGGCAAGGAATGGTGGTGCTGGTGACTTATGCTCCCACCAAAGATGAACATCAGTGGAGGGATGCAGGCAAGGCCGATTAATCAGATGCGTTCTATGATCTCCTGTCACAACAGCTGGCTAAATTGTCCCGTTGGCATAGACTGGGTGACTTTAATGCCCGAGTGGATCATGATGCAGGCAGCTGGGCTAGAGTGATTGGAAGGCATGGACCAGTTCAGCTCAATAACAACAGCAGGAGACTACTAGACTGCTGTGCAGCCCATGTGCTTGTAATTACCTACACTGTTCTGACATTGGCACATCCACAAAACATCATAGATGAGCGCCGGGTCCAAGCAAGGACTATAAAGTGATGGAATAGCGGACGCGGGCCCATGTCCTTGACACCAGCACCTACCATGGAGCTGATCTACCACTAACCATCGGCTTTTCATCTGTAAAATGCACCTACCATTCTTCCACTGTGGTTGTGGGTGTCCACCTCGGACCCCATTCGAACCCACAGTGGCTAGCTGAAAAAAGTTGCAAGCGAGAATGTCATCATGGCTTGCAGCTGGTGTTGGAATCATACCACCTCCTGATGCAGAGAGGAAACAGATGAGTTGTAGAACTGTGGCTCATGCAGCTGCAATGGCTGTTTTGGGTACATGGTCCAGACGTGGAGAATATTTTAAAGAGGGGAATGTACCATGATTTTTGCGTGATAAAATATTTTTACGGTAACGTCGTTCGCAGTGAATGTTATACGTCGTAGGCTCTGAATCAGGGAAGTATAAAAAATCTTTGACACGTTCTCGGTTACTGCAATCAAATAGGTTGTGCAGCAGCATATGAAATCTGACATCCTGCACAGAAATCCGATATCAAAGCTGCTCTCCATTACCCAGTGACACTCGCTCACCTACTTTCAAGCAGCCAATCATCATTCCACGCATATGATGCACACCTTCATAGGTCATTCCATCATGCAAACTCCAGTCATCCTCACAGCAGCTTTTGTTCTAACCATCGAACAAAGATGGTCACTGCATCGCGCGCTTTCAGATGCGCTTCTGTGGCCGTCTGGAACGCTCTTCCCATATTAGGAAGCCGCTGGAGCTATAGACGTTTGAATCTCGATTGAAAACTAATTTCATTAGAACTGCTTTTTGTGATTAGTTTGTTGTCCTTCCACACCTCCGATTAGCACGGTTGGCTACGTACGGTGCGAAAGAAGTTCAACATACATACACATACAGACTAACAGGAGGCCATGCATGGTCGTAATGTGACACTGTTTCCCAAGGCTGCTGTGTATCAGTGGGCAATCAGCGACATCAGCAGTGCCGAGTGGGAGGAGGGTGATCTTCATATCTGGAGCTTATTTCACAGAGATGCTCACAACTGAAGGCCAACCATGTCATCGTGACTCTCTTCCTGTACTTACAAGTACTCCATCTGAAGGACAACTTACTGTCGATGCGAGGTGGTTGGTGTGATTATAGTTCGTGTTGTTGAATTATTTAGCGTATTTGTTTTTCCGACTCAGTTCACCTGAGTCAAGTGGAAAACATGATGCGTGTGTGTGTAGCGATTAGCGCGCAAGAGCCCAGCGACCCGTTTTCAGATTCCCGCTCACGGCCAACACCGGTGACGATTATCGTCTTCGATAATCGTTTTTGACTCGGCTCTGGAGGAGGTGGGGAAGCTCTGCAACTCGGATTTCGCGCATGCACCGCCACCTTCTCAGTCCCATCGTGCTCTAATCTCACGTGCGTAGCGAGCACTCATTTTAATCGGCGTGGACTTTATCGCAAAATCTCCTTGCAACCCCTCAACACAACTCATCCGCCCCCTAAAGATAAGATCATGTAAATTTTGGGTAAAGGTTAAATCATTTTTA